AAGCAACATCTTGTCTGGTGGAAGCCAAATAAACAAGGAAATCATTTGATTTTTAAGACCCAAGTAGACTTTTGAGTTGACCCAAGGAAGATCTTTAGGGGTTATTTGTGAACCTAAACTAAAGCTGAGACAGGCCCCCTCAATCACAGGCTGGAATACCTAGTTCTCCAGAGTGCATTAACTTTTAGGATATAGGGTGGGTATTTAATAGCTCAAATATGGCTACTAAGGAAGTATAAGAACTAACTACAGATAGTTGGAAGACTGTTGGAAGGTTCTGGCAGCTATAGAAACACCTTTATTTGGCAAGGAACTGAGTAATGGCATTTTGGGGAATAATATTGACCTCCTTTTGAATGAATGGGATGGTGCCATTATTTTGGAAATTGAACTCCTAAAGCAACTAAATCAAAGAAAAAGATGATGAGGATGGGAAAAGGGTTACCTTGAGACACAAACTGAAGTAGGCAATAAACCTTTGGATTTTAGGTCCTTATTGTGTCTAAGTATTACAACAACCATTGTTCATTCTTGACCTGGAATGGAGGTGAGGGGTGGGAAAGTAGGAAGGGATGAGTTGTCTCTCAACAACAGCAATAGATCTTGGAGACTAAAAAAGATGAGTAAAAAGATTGAGAGCCTTTTGCTTCCTTTAGTTGTGCCTTGTTTCAATATTTTGACAAACATTTCTGGAACTGGTTTTGTTTACTTGAATTGGGCCTATGCTTTTTATGCCAGTTTTTTTTTTTTAAGTCCCACAGGTTGAAAAAATGTGAGACATTCATTCCAGATGTGAGAGTTTTCCCTAAATAGTTCACGCATGAAGTTTAGGTGTAGCACTTATGCAGTGAGAAGCATTCTGTGGGAAAATAAAATGGTGGTTATGTTATATACTCTCCTGACCTATTTTTTTTCATTGTGTTCAATCTGCTGCTACTACTTGATATATTTCTATAGCTTTGTTTCTTCTAAGGTTGTGAGTTTCTAGTTTTGTGTTTTATCCTGACAGTATCCCCTTAGAGCAATGAAGGACAGGCAGCATTTATCCTCATGCTTTTTGTTGTTCAGTTGTGTTCATCGTGTCTAACTCGTCATGATCCTATTTGCGGTATTCTTGGCATGCCTAATTTTAAAATATTAAGTATGGGCCTTTTTTGTCGTTCAGTTGTTTCAGTAGTGTCTGACTTTTCATGACCCCATTTGAGGTTTTCTTGGCACAGACACTGGAGTGGTTTGCCATAGCTAGTGTCTGAGGCCAGATTTGAACTCGGGAACATGAGGCTTCCTGACTCCAGATCTAGCAGTCTATCCACTGTATCACCTAGCTGCCCTGGTGATGGTGTTGGGCTTGCTGAAATTGAAAAGGCTACTGGCTAACTTATTGAGTGCCTTGGGCATTGAAGGAATTGTGGGAATTGAGTAAACCACATTGATTCCATCTTGTGACTCAGTTCTGTAGTCTTTCTTCTATTATGGGTCTAGTCCAATTAATATCCCCATGTTACAGATTGGAAATTTGACACTGGGAGAGGTGGCTTATGTGGAGTCTTATTAAATCATTACTTGGTTGCTGATAGGCCTGAGGCTTGATCCTAAACTAAAGCCCATTTCTTGTTGTTATTGTTCTCTTTCTTCCTCCTCCTTCCCCCTTCTCCCCATTTTCCTTATTTTCTTTTAGAGGTCTTCCTATCTCCCCCAGCCTGGGAGTACAGCAACTATTCATGATTTGATCCCACTATTGAGCAGCTTGGAGGCTTTAATCTGCTCCCTGAGTAGTGGTTCACCCCCTTGCCCTCAGTCTGGTCACCCTTTGTTCCTTGGGGACCGCTAATTTTGTGTTGCTTCTAATTTGGTCACTCACTCAATAATCTTAAGCTCTTCTGCAATTCAGAACTCCTAAATTCAGGTGATCCATGAGTTCTGGCCTTCCCCAGTGGCAGGGAATACTATCCTGTGTCACCATGCCTGGCCAGTGCTTATTTCCATATTTCTTTTCATTTTTTTGTTTTCTTTTGTTTTTGTTCTTCCAAGCTAGGTTTCCAGTGATTTCTAATCTATAGACATAGAGGGTAATTACTTAAGCATAAAATGGGGATAACAACACACCAAATCAACAAACGTTTATTAAATGGTTTATTAAATGTGCTTATAGTAATAAGCAGGCACTGTACTAAGTTCTGGGGATATAAATACAAGCAAAAAGACAGTCCCTGCCTTCAAGGGGTTTACATTTTAACAGGAGAAGACAACACATAAAAGAGAGCTGAAAAGTGTTGGGGGGGGGTGGTGCGGGTGGTGGGGAACTCTTGCAGGGACATGGTGGCAAAGTCCAGAGAATGAAGCATGGCTGATATGAGCCCTTCCTCAAAACTCACCTATGGGAGAAAAAGACTGCAAGGACAGAGAGAGAAGCAGTTAAAACATGGCACAGTCTGGAGAGTAAAGAATGGCTAGTCTGACTTACTAGCTGTGTGACCGCGGGCAAGTTACTTAACCCCATTGCCTAGCCAAAAACAAAAACAAAAAAAGAATGGCTGGTCTGAGCCCTTCCTCAAAATGAGAGTTCTGACCACGCAAGGGTGCTCTGAGGATCAAATGTGCTGATGTATATGAAAATGATCAACTGAAGAATTATAAAATTATTAACTGGTGTTATTATTATTTAAATCCTCCAGTGATACTGTAGCCTTAAGCTTTTCAATTAAATATATTCTCCAGTAGAGTTTGTCCCAAAGACCTTAAACATTACAAACAGTTTGCATGGGTCTGCTATAGGTTGTTTTTAAGTTAAAGTTGATCTAATGTTTACCTTTAGGGCATTTGTCTTTTTCTGTTATCTTTCCATCTACTGTTAGTTATTATCTCAGGCCAATCACTATCTCAGGCCCAATCCGGGTGAGTCAAAGTTAGGAAGAAAAGTATACAAGGGACTCTGTAAAGGAGAATGAAATGGGGGGACTTTCAGAGCTGCCAGAAACTGTTATTTTAAGAGTCCCAAATGACTATTAAACTGCAGTCTAGAAATTCTTGGACTTGTCACTATTGTGTGCGTTTCTGTGTGTTTTCCCCTATGTTTAGAAATACTTTGATTTCTATATACTTTAAGCATAAAATGGGAATTATAATATCCTCCCTACCTCACGTGGTTGTTGTGAAAATCAAATAAAAATAATTAACAATGTCTATAAAAATAATTAACAATGAAGTATCATATAAACATTAACTGCTATGATTTAATTGAAATGATGCTATGGTTTTAAACACCAGAATGTATGGCATGAAATAGTAGATAAAGGTTTGGCCTTATGGTTAGGAAATCCTGGATGCAAATCTTACCTCTGATATACTGGCTGCATGCAGATCAGTTAATTTCCCAGTGCTTATAGGTAACTGTCAAAGACTGTAAGTTGGAGAGAAGATATTGATCTGCATTGATAAAGACAGTGTGCTTGCAATGCCATAGCATTGTCCTTATCTCTATATGGAATCATTGGTGAAATTCTACATATTGTACTCTTATCTCAAACCTATTATTTTTCTGTATAGGTTATATTTTCTACAAGCAGGTATGCTTGATGCTTTGATCCTTCTGGGTTTTTTTTCTTTCTACATTTACATTTTTATTGATATCTTTTATTTTTACATTACCTTTATTTCTGATGATATTCCTGCCTCTGCCTTCCCCAATAAGACATTTTTGTTACATAAGACCAGTTCAGCAAAACTGTTCAACACATTAAGGATAGCTGGGTGGCTCAGTGGATAGGGCACTGGGCTTGGAATCAGGAAGACTCATCATCATGAGTTCAAATCTAGCCTCAGATACTAGCTGTGTGACCTTGGGCAAGTCACTTAACTCTATCTGCCTCAGTTTCCTCATCTGTCAGATGATTGGGAGAAGGAAATAGCAAACCACTCCATTATCTTTGCCAAGAAAAACTCAAACAGGGTCATGAAGAGTTGGACAGGACTAAACAACGTGTGTGTGTGTGTGTGTGTGTGTGTACATACACATATTTGTCTTGGTATATAGTGTAAATGTTGATCTAAACCTAATTTGAGCCATTCTATTTTCCAGTTTTCTTAGCGATTCTTATCTAATAGTGTTTTTTCCCCTTAAGTAATTAATGTTTTGGGGTTTATTAAACACTGGATTATTGAATTTCACTGTTTTTGATTCTCCCTTGTGTATTTTGTTCTACTGATCTACTTTACCATTTTTAACCACTATTAAATGGTTTTGATTACTGCTTTATAATCTAATTTGTAGTCTGAAAGAACTATTATCCCCTCATTCCTACCTTTCCCTGTGATTACCCATGATATTTTAGACCATTTGTTCTTCCAAATGAATTTTGGTTTTATTTTGTCTAGCTCTTTAAAGGATTCCTTTGTTAGTTTTGATTAACACAGCACTAAATCTGTAAATTAACTTTGGTAGCATTGTCACTAGTAGTCACTAATACCAAATAGCCCTTCAATTATTTGAATTCCTTTTTATTCCATGAAGGGGTGTTTTGTAATTTTATATATACAGTCATTGACTGTGCTTTGGTAGATTGACTCCCAGGTATTTTATATATTTTATATGGTACTTCCATTTCTGTTGCTACTCCTGGATTTTGTTATTGCTATATAAAATGCTATTGATTTTGAAAGTTTATTTTGTAGCCTGAAACTTTACTTAAGCTATGTGACTTTTATCAATTAGTTTCCTTAATGATTCTCTGGGGTTTTATTTGATGCTTTTTTTTTTGAGTGGAAAAGCCAAAAAGCAGCATTTCCAATTTTCCTCAGTTTTCTTAAGAACTTGAGCTCATTTAGTAATATGTTCTGATGTCTACACTAAACTTGGTATTTCCTACAATACAGAAAATAGAAACAAAGTACTTTTGGCTTTCAACTTCTGTGTTCTGATCAAGTTTTGTTTTTTTTGTCGATGGATTTTAGAAGGCTGTTATTGACCTCTTGTTTCTTTCTTTTCTTTTTTCCTATTTCAGGAGGCTGCTGGGTATCATAACAAAGAAGGATGTGCTAAGACATATGGCCCAGATGGCAAATCAGGACCCTGAATCCATCATGTTTAATTAGACCACTCATACTTCTAACGCATGTGAATATTACTTTGGAGAAAAACAAAAAAGGTTGCATCGTCATTTTTTTAAAAAAAGAAACAACAATATGCCACCAAACCAAAATGAAAACTTTTCACAGGGAGCAGCGTGGAACAAAACTGTGAAAGCAGTTGAAGAAGGATGAGACATTTCTTAAATGATTGGGTATATAGGTTAGCACTTTAACCCTCTACAAGTTTCAAACTGTTTCCCTAAAGTGTTTACTAACAACTCAACTGGTACCCAGGTAAGTATAAATAGTGTGGCCTACACATGGCAAAGAAGGAGAAACAACACTAGAGAAACATATCAATCTAGAGGACCATGTGGGAGGCTTTAACTTAGGAACAAATGTGAAGCTTCAAGTTCAGAAGCATAGAGGAATAAGTATGTAAATCTCTTTATTTATTTGTAACTGAAGTTTTGTTGCTTTGTTACTGAATCATAAAAAGACATTTGTCACTTATTTTGTTTTAAAAATTAAATTTTGAAGAGACTTAAAACTGTAAGTATGAAAAGAAATCCGTGGAATCATAGAAAGTCTTTTTCTTGTTCTCAGATACGGTTATTTTGGTATCCCCAGTGGTAGCCTAGCCATCACCGTGACTGAGTGTTAAAATCAAAGATGTTTGGAAGAATGAACCTCTTCTCTATGCAAGACTCAAATCTTAAAACTGCACTACGAAAGTATTCTTGAGTTTGGTCCTGGATTTCATTGCCCTCTATACAAAGAAATACATTGTTATTTTGAAAGGTATCCAAAACTGGTGATTTATTTGTATCTCAGTTGCATTAGCCTAATCTCTCCAGTCCTCTTGATTAAATCTTCTTAAATACTACTCAGTTCAGCATGACAATAGAAATACTTTTAATGGGGTTCATGCCACCAGCATGCAGTAAAAACTTGCTCTAAGTTCCAAGTGGGCCATATAAAACAGTCATAATAGGTTAGCCATCATTGGTACCTTCTTATCACCAGATCTTTTTAATTATCATAGTCAAGTAAAGGTTCATAGTGGAAAGCCACTCTAAGTTTGCTTAAAAAAAATAACAAAAGCACCCCCGACTAAATAGATAATAAATCCTTCCCGTTCTGTTCGCTCTGGGATGTAACCTGGACCAGCGGTTTTAGTGTATTCTTTCAAACTCAGCACCAAAATCTCAGAAACATTGGTCGCATTTGAACCTCCCAGTGTCCTATTCCCTTGATTCCCTTTGCATTGGAATGTAAATATTCTTTTTCTTTCCCATTTAGAGCGACAGTTTGGGAGAAGGAGTTAAGGTGTGTTAGGCATTAAACAATGGTGCAATCGTTTTAGGTGAAACTTGTCAAATTGCCCCTTTTATTTTCTTCTGTGGCTTTTTCTTTTCTGGATGGAAATGGTCCTACTCATTTCTAACTCAATCTTTCTGAAGAATTAGATACTTCAATTTTCCCTACTACCTACCTCTTCCCTTCCTTTGCCTTAAGTTCCATGACACAGAATCTACAATCTTGGCATTTCAGATTGGTTTCAGACATAAGATTTTTCACTTTGGATAAAAACACGGCAAGAGTATATTTTGGGAGGTTTCTAGGTGACAGAAGAACTTTGAGAGTTTCTGTTAAGTTTGTCAGTTCAAGTCATATCACATTGACACAAATCAATCAGTCCTGGTTTTTTCCTGCACTACCCCTCACAAAGTATCATAGAAAGCTACTTCATTAAAGAAAAGTCCAGAAGATAATAAATTTTTAAAAATATCTATTGTGAAAATGGAAGCCCATTTTTTGCTCTCTCAGTAACCTTTAATCACATTAATAACTGCCCTTGTAAAAACTTATTTGAGGGGTAGCTAGGTGGTTCAGTGGCTAGAGTGGCTGACCTGAAGTCAGGAATATTTATCTTCTTGAATTCAAATCCATCCTCATACACTTACTAGCTGTGTGACCCTAGGCAAGTCACTTAACGGAAACATTTCTGTTCGCCATAGTTTCCTCATCTGTAAAATGAAGTGGAGAAAGAAATGTCAAATCATCCAGTATCTTTACCAAGAAAACCCCAAATTGGGTCACAAAGAGTCAGACAAGACTGAAACAAACGAACACCAAAAAGGGCCAATATTTAATATTTTAAAGTTAGGCTTTTATCATGGGGGTTTAAGTCCTACAATGGCCAAATGAAAGCATCTCAAAACATGGAAGAAGAGAAGTGATGGTGGTGGTAGAAAGTCCTTAGCTGGTTGAGTTGATTACTTGTCATGTACATGATATTATTACCCCCACTCTTCAGACCATATCCTTACTGTGAATTAGAGTGAGTCATAGTTTTGATTTTCTGTGATCCAGAACCACTTTTAGTTAAAGCCTTCTTAGTTTCCTGTAGTTTTTAAAAGGTGAAATTCAACAGTGATAGGACATGCAAATAAAACTACAAGATTTACTTTTGCTCCAGCTTAAACCAATAAGAGTGTATTCCACTACAGTATAAAGTTATTTAGGAGATGGAAAGTTGGGTCTCTGCCCTCCCTGCCGTGGCTGGAGTTAGAGATACTCGTAAATTCACTTTAGTTTGCAAATGGAAATGAGGTTGAAAATTTAATTCTAATTCAGTAGGATAAGTATAGGGAATTGGACCTGTGATTTCACTGTTCTTTATACATACTACGAAGTTTCCTTTCAACTACAATTTTTACTCGCTCCTCAAAACAAACCTAGAATCAGAATAATTGGGTTAAGGTGAATAATAAAGGAAAGGGAGCTTAATTGCCTCTCTGTACCATCTAAAAACAATTTGGCTTTTCTCTGTTCCTGTTTTCTTGGAAATATACATTGGTAATTCAGCTAGTGCTGAGTTACCAGTTGGTGGGGGAATCCTGGACTATTTCTTGTAGACAAATAGGATATTTTAATCCCATTAGCCTCTTGATTTAAGGAGCAGTTATAGGAGGTGGGTCAGTGGTATTAATAATTGTATATAAGGGAAATGTGTATTTTTCAGGCTAGTATATTTTCATTTGCAGGACAGAAGGCTTTGTTTGCAAAGGTGATCTGATTTGCAAGGGTGATCTAATTGTTTTGCCTGAGGTTTATGCAATAAACACCCTAGCCACAGTGTTCCCCAGTTTAGATTTTCTACCTATCTCTCTCCCTTTTCATGGTGCAATAGACAGCATGCTGGATTTGGAGTCAGAAGACCTGGATTCAAACTGCCTCTACCACTTGCTACTTGTGTGACCTTAGGCAAGCCATCTGTCCTCACTGTCCTTAATGGTAAAATGAGGGGGTTGGACTCTTAATGTCTCTTCCATGATCAATCCCACCCTTCTTCTTCTGCAGCTAAAGAAGTCTATTCACGGACGAACAAATGGTAAATCAAAGGCACCCAAGCAGATTTGATAGTGAGATAAAATTTATGAAAACAACTCACATTGTATTCAACACTGTCATGATGTTTGACTTTGCTTCTAGATCCATTCTCTAGAATCAGTCTCAGATTTCGCTCTAATTTCTTTTTCTGGTGTTAGGTTGACCTTTAAGCATTGAAGACTGTGCCAGTGAACTATGAACTCTGGCAGGTTCTTATTTGCCGGACAGGCCAAATACAGAGAGATTCCTCACTGCTAGGCTTGGCACTAGGTGATTAATAATTCTTTGGTTATGGCAACGCAGGAAACAAAAGAATCCCTGCAGTCCTGACAGAAGATAATATTCATAAAAGCTAGAGATGAAAATTAGCACAGCTTCACCAACTTCGGGGAGAAATGATTACTTCAGTATGTAATTTTAACATGCAAATTCAACTCACTACTTAATAAAAGGCTACTGGACTGGAAAAGGTGAGAAACCAAATGGATGAGAAATCTTGAATTGTGACATGAGTTCAGTATTGTACTTTTGTTTTAATTTTGCATGAACAGTATTTTGTTAGACTTGGCTTCCAACATTTATTCTAGAAGACTAGCTAATGTTACCCACCCTGGGTGATGTTAACCAGATCCCAAACTACCTGCCACTGGCATATGATTCATTTTATGTCCTGGATATGCTGGAAATGAACCCATGTAAGAACTATAGGAGACCTATTTTCATTTGGTTTTGGAATGACAGCATAACAATGTCAGCTTAAAAAAATTGTAGCACATTGTGTAAATGTTGGCACCTTATTGAAAATTAATGTTTGGACTCTATTTTTCAAATAAAACAAATCTACTAGAACAGAATATGTTGTGAATTGGATAGATACTTGTTTCTTACCATGTGTAGGCTATGAGTTTAAATAAAATATTGGGGGTAGCTACGTGGCTCAGTGGATAGAGCACTGGCCCTGAAGTCGGGAGGACCTGAGTTCAAATCCGGCCTCAGACCAAACACTTGACAGTTACTAGCTGTGTGATCCTGGGCAAGTCACAACCCCAATTGCCTAATAAAATAAAATAAAATATAGCTTCAGGATATTTAATCCAGATAGAATGGCTTAAAATTTAGAGATTCAGCTTTCTTTCAACAAATACTCATTGATCAATATAGCACAGCAACATTTTGCTGCATTCTGGAAAGACACAGAGGCAAGTGAAACAAAATTTCTGCTCTTAAGGAACTTAAAATGTAGTACTATTAATACTTCAGTGAACCTGTGAGCCGCCTTTGAAATTTCTTTACCTCAGGGATGTCATGGAATACATATGCTGTCTACTAATTATCCCTCTCTCCATCTGACCAGTTCCTTTTATTTTTCTTTGGCATCTTTTATATTCTATGCAATTCCTTGACTATAATTGGTAACCCATCTAATTTTGTAAGGAAATAAAACATGTATGTATGTGTATATATACATATATGTGTTTATATGTATTATATACTCACACACAAACAGTTTATATACACATAGAGAGACTTAGCCTGGCCTTAGAACCAACCCATTTACACGGTCAGTATGGCATATGAGTTTATTATGTTCAGGGGGGTACCCATTACCCTCTCTGGATTGGTTTACCTACCCTAACATGCTCTCACAATGGCAGGTCTAGATAACTTTCTCTGAGTGGGTGCCAGCCATAGCTGTGACCTTGTAATTACCACTCAGATTCTCTCAAAGTTTCAGTAATATGTGGTAGTGTGGGTGGGAATCCACTCTTGCCAATGTAACTCTTGGCCAAAGGCATAAGCCTGTGCCTACAACTCATTTTCTCATGATCTCAGGGGTATGTGTGTGTGGGGGGGGATTCAATCATTGCCACTATAACTACTGAGCTCTTACTGGTATGCTTCCATTTATATAAATCAGTCACAGTAACACCATTGACAATTAAACATGAAATATTTACTAAATGATAAAGCAAAAGTAGGAATAACATTTATTCTGCCGAAGGACAGAGCAACAATAATATTGCAGTCTACCCCAGTACCTGGTTTATACTCTCCCACCAATGCTCGTGGAGTCCATAGGAATGTGTTTGGGGAAACACATGTACCCAGGGCAACTCATAATTTTAGATAGAAGACTTGCTGTCCACGGTCTCTTTAGAGAATAATCTGCACTATGTGCCATTTGCTGAGCAAAAACTGCTTCTTTGCTGTCTGTTCACCAGCCTGTTGAAACAGGAACAAACTGTTTTATCAGGCAGCAACCCTTGGTAGGGTACTGAAAGAGAGTTCAACTTTTTCAGGGACAAGCAGTTCCCTTCAGCGGAAGAACTGCCAAGGTCTCAAATCTGTCCTGGGCCCTGAAGAATTGCTCTCAATCTGTAGATAGTGATAAAGCCATGCAGCTAGCT